TTTACCAAGATCAAATAACTTGAGTGGCGTACGTCACTTTGGGTGGGCTAGTCTAAAACCTATCTACAGCCCGAACTGCTCAATGGCATCCTTGCCGGTGTACAGCTCTGCGGAGATGATACCAAGGGCTGCAAACATTGCAAAACGGCCGTTGTTGAGCTCTCGCTCCTTAGTTATCAGCCAAATTGATAAGTATACCAAGGAGACCCTGAGAACAGCTTCTGGCAAATCGTTTGCAAGCCAAGGTTGCCAAATGTTCGTCAAGCAAAACACGGGCCAGTTACGAGCAGCAAGGTGTATGATTCTGGCAACAAGTTGCAATTCTTTAAAAAGAAGCAACAAGAAGTGCAGCCCAGTTTCCCTCATTTCCTGAGTGTACTGGTTGAATCCCACCGGGTCACCGAAGTTTCCGGGCTCCTTGTCATCGCTCTCCGTCCAAAGGCCCAGCTCCAGAGCGCCGGACAAAGCGAACAGAGCGATGAAGCCATAGCTCCCAGGTGCGGTGACAGCTGCAGCCAAGCCACTGGGCACGGACTCAAAGCCTGGGAAGAAGAAGAAGAAGTGTTGCACCACAGCCCCGAGAGCGGCCATCATCGCAGCACGCCCATGCTTGATCTCGGCAGCCCGCAAGTTGCGGAAGCCAGCCTCATCACCCTTCTTGCAGAAGCCCGCTGGGTCAAAGAACCCCAGTGGATCCATGGCACCAATTTGGGTGGATGGGTCGAAATCAGGACTTCCCTTGCCCGAAACACCTTTCTCTTTCAAGGATCCCACACCAGCAGAACCTGCGACCGCTGATCCTGTGGCCGTCGCTCCCTTTGCTGCTGCAGCTGCTTTGGCGGCGGCGGCCGCAGCAGCTGCTCCACTGACAGGCTCCGCTCGCAACGGGGAGGCGGTGTAGTTGGCCCAGTCACCCCACGCGCTCCCAGTGAGTCCGTCCTGCCAAACGAGCTTCCCGACATCACACGATATATGTTGTATAAGTATAAAAAGAAATGAACCTGGGGCTTGGTACTTACCAGTGCACATCCTGCAGAATGTCCTCAAATGTTAGTCTCAGCATGTTTTTGCATACAAAACCCATCTTTGCAAGCCCCATCAAATGACTCAAACAAACATCAAGGACGAAATTATTTAACTGAATCAACTTGTTTGGGTGTGCTTGCTTGCGTACTCAAAAACTTCACATCAATTTGTGCACCG